GTATTAGTTGGTGCGTTCGGGGGCCGGCCCGGTGGCACACTGCTACAGTGCGCCGCTTGGGAGCGCGGCGGCGCTCCCACCGAGGGTTCGGATCCCACATACAGACCGGTTCCCGCTCACTGGCTGAGCGAGGTGTGGGCGCGACACCGAGGGTTGCGATCCCGTTGCCGGTCCCGGTCCGGTCCGGGCGCGACACTGAGGGTTGTGATCCGTTGCCGGACACGAAAAAAGACAAAATAAATAAATAAATAAATAAAGTTTGTGATTTCTATACTGTATTTCTGTGTGTATATGTTTTTACTCATCTGATAAGAAGACATTTTTAAATAAGTCAGATAAGGCATTTTTTTCTTAAAACCCTTTTAGGTGAAATATGAAATGACATATTTAAAATGCCTTAAATTTTTTTTTTCCCTATCTGTATTACCCCCATCCCCCCTTCCCTTTTTTTTGAGGACTTTCTTCATTCTCTCTCCAGATAAAACAATCAAGTTATGGAAAATCAGTGAAAGGGACAAAAGACCAGAAGGGTATAACTTGAAAGAGGAAGATGGAAGGTATAGAGATCCTACTACAGTAACTACACTGCGAGTAAGTACATAAGACAGAACAATTCTCATTCTGATGAATAGTGTTCTGTATTCATGTCATGTAGCCTAGATCCTGAGCAGGACTTGGATAGGAATAATTACGAGCACCCCAAACAATTCTATAATGAGATAGGAGATTGAGTAACTCCCATTTAAACATAGAAACTGACCTACAAATCATTCTCACTAGCCAGGGGCAGAACCAGGACTCAAACACAAGACTGTGTTTTAAACTATACCACGATCTTTTGCTCTCATGGTTGGAATGTCAGCTATTACAAGATTTAGTTTCATGATTAATTTTCTTGGGAGATCAAACAAGTAGAAATGACTTTCTTTTATAAGTTTGGTGCTAAAATTGCGGAAACTAGAACCATATCTTGGTTTTTGCAATAATGCTGGCAGAGTACACACAAGAAAAAGGTAACTGCACTAGATTGTAAAGACTGGGGTAGAGTCTTTCTTAATGTTCGGTGTCCTTTGTCTTAAGAGTTGGTGCAGTATGTCTTTAGAAAAGAAGGAAAAAAGTAGAAACAAACCAAATTTTATAGTTGTAGCTAAAAAGTACCAAGAATTAGATGCTATGTGTTAATTTCCTTTTTAGCCTCTTTAATTTGAATCATAAACATTTATTAGCTCTGTGTGTTTTTCAACCAGAAGATTAGAACTAAGAACTTCAAGTTCTAGTAGTAGTATTACTGGTAAGAAAAGGTAAATTGTCCAGATCATTATTTTTTCTTCTTCCCATTTCTACACATTAAAGGATCAACCCCAGTTGCTTTTTAAAACTAAAATCTGTGTAATATTGTACTGTTTTACATTCCCTCAAAAACTGGAGTAATGAAGTATTCTGAATCTTAACTGCTGTTTGAAACAACAAGCCTTTTGTAATCTCTGTTTCTTGTGTGTCTTATTGACAGGTGCCAGTCTTTAGGCCCATGGATCTAATGGTTGAGGCCAGTCCACGAAGAATATTTGCCAATGCTCATACATATCACATCAACTCAATTTCTATTAATAGTGATTATGAAACATATTTATCTGCAGATGATTTGCGGATTAATCTTTGGCATCTGGAAATTACAGACAGGAGTTTTAGTATCCATTTGGTTTCTTCTTTTAGTGTTTGGGAAAGAAGGCATGCTGTATACCCATATGGGATTTGTTTTCATCCCTCCTTAATGTATTCAGTTCCTTCTATTTATAGTGTCTTTTAATATAGGTGGTGTCTTATGTTTTTCTTTGTATATGGGTGATTAAACACTGGGGAAAAGTTACTTAATAAAGAATGAAGATAGTGTATTGATTTAAAAATTAGATTCATGGAATTTTAAGGGATTTGTCTAGTATGTCTATGAAAATAGGAATTTTTTAATAATTATGATTCGTAACAATATATATGCTAGTAATATTGATTTGATCAATATATATCAATGTTGAACCCGTATAATCAATTTTGATTCAATAAATAAATTTTAAAAAATTTTTAAAGTTTAAATTGCAAAAAAAATAAAAATAATTGAATTTGTGAAACATTTTACTTAAAACTTTTTAGTTATAAAAATATTTTTGTTAAGGTTGGACAAAGAAATCATACAAGTCATGATGCGTGATGATATAAAGTCAATAGAAATATTTCTCAAAACCCCATTTTTATTATTTATATTATCCTTCTGAAATTTTTCTGTATGCCTACTTCAAAAAGTTCACAGTAAAATGGAATTTAAAAAATAATATCAGTCTTCTCATGGACTTTTTGAAGATTCCTTGAAGGAGTGTATGATGTATAAACATAAGAGGGGGGCCGGCCCGGTGGTGCACTGGATAGTGCGCCGCTTGGGAAGCACGGCGGCGCTCCCGCCCGAGGGTTCGGATCCCACATACAGACCGGTTCCCGCTCACTGGCTGAGCGAGGCTCGGGAGCAACACCGAGGGTTGCGATTCCGTTGCCGGTCCCCGGTCCGGTACAGGGGCAACACTGAGGGTTGCGATCCGTTGCCGGACACGGAAAAAGACAAAAGACAAAAAAATAAATAAAATAAATAAAAAAAAATAAACATAAGAGGGTACTTCAAGAGGTTTGTGGGAAAATGGACTGAAAAGATAATGCGAGTTTTTCCATGAACTTTGTGATCACCTCTTATATATACCTGCGCACATGCATATAATATATACATATAATTATAGAAATGTATATAAATATATTTGTTTTTCAGTATTAGAAATTCTTGATAAATGACAGCAGCTTTAACTACTACTGTTAATATACATATTTTACAAATAGATATCATTTGAAAAATTAACAGCTTTACCACACTTTATACTCTACCAAGAGTGTACATATGAGAGCCTGTGTCCTTACACTTTTATCACTGTAGTGAGTGAAAAAGTCCTCTTTTGTTTTGATTTGCATTTCTTTCTTCATGAGTAGCCTGGAGCATCTTTTCATGTTTATCAACCATTTATATTTCTTTTTTTTTTTTTCCCGATTTTTCCACTGGATTTAAGTGTGTGTGTGTGTGTGTGTGTGTGTGTGTGTGTGTGTGTGTGTGTGTGTGTGTTTTAAGCACCTTTTTTTGTGTTAAGTAAATTAGCTGTTTGTGGTACAAATAATTTCCCTTCTCACCCTCTTGGGGTTTTTGTTTACTTGTTTGTTTTGGAATTCTCTTAATGTTTATGAAGATAAATTGTACTAGTCTTTTCTTTATAACTTCTCTAAAATGATTTAAAATTCACCTGTGTTCCGAAATTTGTTTGTTTTTAGTGTTAAAAGTTTTAATTTCTCTGGGATTTATACTCATGAAAGTAGAATGCAGTTGAAAATGAATACTTGTGCTTAGGTCTGTGAATGGATTTTAGGTTTGAGAAATGTAGTTATTTGCCCTTTTTTCTAAGTGGAAATTCCTTAATAAAATGCCATTCAAGATATTGTGGATATCAAGCCTGCCAATATGGAAGAGCTAACAGAGGTGATTACAGCAGCAGAATTCCATCCAAATAGCTGTAACACATTTGTATACAGCAGCAGTAAAGGAACCATTCGGTTATGTGACATGAGGGCATCTGCTCTTTGTGATAGGCATTCTAAATGTAAGTTTATTGCATCTTTCTTCAAAATGATAATGTATTTTATTTGCCTGACACTACCTTCAGAAATTTACATAGGTTTACAAGTCTTTAAACCTCTTGATACTCTTTGGTACATTAACTCCACCTGAGACATTACAGGTTAATTCCACTGGAAGACCAGAGTAAGGCTCTCTTGGGGGCATGTCTGTTGATTCCCGAGAATGTATTTTTAGTGGGATGCTATTCTTTGGGAACTTGTGGTTGGGCTCTCTAACCTTGTATTCAAGTAGAATAATGCTTTCTCTCCCTCCCTCCCTCCTCGTTCTTCTTTGTCTCCCTTTCCCTTTTGAGGTTCCTAGGAAGATTTCTTCTGAGAAGAGTTTCCTTGCCTTAGAAAAAAAAAAAGTTTGAAAACCACTGGGTTAAAAAACAAAGCGGTTGCAGTATTCATGTTGTTGAATATTTTTAAAACTCATGATAATTGGTACATGCCTGCCACAAAATAACTTCACCTGGCGACTAGAAAATAAAATCTTAGCCTGAATTTAGATGGGTGAGGATGGTGTGTTTCTCATGGTGACATTACAGGCAAAGTCAGTGAGGTATATTGAAGAATGTGCCAACCTGGCGTACTGAGGTCGAAAGCCCCAGGTGAGCCTTGTTCTCAATGAGCCGTCCGACTCTGGACATGTACTTTATACTTCTGCATCTTCAACTTCAGTATTAAGTCACTCTCCTAAGAAACATTTGGGGTAATTACATTCTTATACCAGAGAGATGTTTTTCAGTTCTTTGTTAGCCTGTCACTTTACCTCGTTCTTAGGAAGTTTGTGAATGGTTGCTTTAGGAAATGCTTTGTCCAAGCCGAAATATTGTACACCTTGCCCTTTTTTTTTTTTTTATGCTTGTTTTTAGTGTTTGAAGAACCTGAAGATCCCAGTAACAGGTCATTTTTTTCCGAAATCATCTCCTCTATTTCTGATGTAAAATTCAGCCATAGTGGTCGATATATGATGACTAGAGACTATTTGTCAGTCAAAATTTGGGACTTAAATATGGAAAACAGGCCTGTGGAAACATACCAGGTATTTGCAGTTTTTTCTTTTATTGAGCACGTGCCCTGTTTACTTCCAGGTGTTTCTAGAGAAGGATTCTGTGCTAGGTGTTAATCCTTACACAGCATGTGTTCACCATCAGGCTTTTCCCCTTGGAGATCAATGAGTGTGTTGCTTTTCCTTATGTTAAACGTACGTATGCTTACGTAGGTTGTGTTGTCTATTCAGTTTTGCAGTTAAAGTGTGATTTTTGCTACCCATTTGGTTCAGTCTTGACAGCTTTTTTCCTGCTGCTATGTACATTTACGGTAAGGAAGAACACTCTCCTTTAAGGCTGGGTAGGAGGAGGACTGGGGAGAATGGTCAGTCCTAGCAGAGGTGCACATCCTCTGCTTGAAGCATGTACAGTAGCGGTTGAACTGGAGCTTAAACTTGGCATGCCAGGTTAGATGTACTGGTATTCTGCCTTTTGGCTGATAACTTGTCTTAAGCTAAAGGAGAAGGGCTTGAAAGCCCAGCAGATGGCTTTAAGAGTTACCTATCTGTTGTAGGAAGTCAGTTCTGGATTACCTTTTTGTCAGCTAGCCATGACCATTGACCCATGTCTACTGCGTCAGAGAGAGAGGAGAGTGAGGAAGTGTGCACCCCAGCACAGGGTGGGGCCGCATGAGCCTGCCCTAGGCCCTGGGCATACAGTGCAGAAGACACTTAGCACTGCCCTAGGAGCACAGGACTTGTAAATGGTACCTTCTTTATGTATTCTCAATACAATTAGAACAGTGTTTCTCAAACATTTAAATCCCCTTTGACAAACAAAAACCACTCAAAATTCTCCTTAATGGTATTTGAAATTTCAAAATAAATACTAGGTTGAAACAGAAGCAAAGAAATAAAATACTGCTATGTTACCAATGTACATTTGTGTAACTGCCAAGATTGATGTCTCCTGGTTATCCTTACCACTACCCCATTCCCATTGAGAGTATTGATTTGAACCATAGTTTCATACTCTTAAATTGTTTGTTGAGAAACCCTGTACTATGTGCACTCTAAAATGTTGCTTCATTATGATGATCTACCTAATTTTACCTGGTGTGCAGTTTTTCTCTCTGCTAAATTGGATCAGTGAGAGTAGAGTCACATCATTTGCAAATGTAGCCTATCTAGAGTCAACTATTTCTGTTGAATTTGTGCATGCGTATTACTGAGTTGTGTGTGACTGAAGGATACTTTTTATCTTATTAACTTTTTATATTACATGCTTACTTTTGATCCTAATCCTACATTAATTTTTTTGTATTAAAATTTGCGCCTAACATCACAGCATGGCCTGTACGGTTCCACTATACTTAAAGTTAAAATGGACATTTAAGATGAGTTTAGGTTGTTTCATAAGGAATATAGAATTCTAAGCTTTTAGAAGATCACCCCTATTTTCTATCATTACTTCTTTTTAAGATTCTCTTTAAGTAAAAAGGAATCATGAGATAGACATTCCTTTTTCCCTCTGATCACAACAAATACTTTGGAACTTTCCTTTGTAATTTAACGATGTTAATGTTGAAATGTATCGTGTTTCTCAGAACTACTTTTTGAATGCCAGATTTACTCATTTTCTAGTATCCTGTGAAATATTAGTAAATATGGAATCACAATTCAAAAAACATTTTATTAGCTTTTGTCATTATCAAAATGTCAACTGATGCTGTCAAATTTTAAAACACTGCATACCTGAGATAACTATATAATTTGTCCACCAAACTAGGGCATGGTCATGCTATGCATAGTATAGGCATTTAATTAAAAATACAGGCTTTAGTTAAATTTATGCCCAGAAAATGGTATTTGAAAGGAAGTAAGCACAGTATTCAGTGTTTTTATCAGCGCAATCAATGGACTGAAAGCCGAGTACAGGTTCAGTATCTCTTATTGATAAATGCTTGGGACTAAACATGTTTCAGATTTTGGATTTTTTTTCTTTTTTCTTTTTTTTCCCCCAGATTTTAGAATATTTGTGTTATACTTTACTGCTTTAGCATTTCTAATCCGAAAATCCAAAATCCAGTTGACACTCCAGTGAGCGCGTCATGGTGGTGTTCAAAAGTTTTGGGTTTGGGGAGCATTTTGAGTTTTCAGATGAGGGATACTCAACCTGTAGTGATATTCAAATATTGCTGTAATGTTCTTTTATTAGTCTCTTATCTGTGCCATTTTCAAATGTTTTCTGGCCGAAATGTTTTAAGTTTTAGTTGGCCTCCTAAAGGGCACCTGTGCCATATGCCCAGAAGGGAGTTTTTCTTTGTTGTATAATAGGAAAATGTGCCTCCCTGAAAGGAGCCTTGTCTGTGTGTTGAATGATAAAATGCCTTTATTGATACTAAGAGGACTGAGATTTAATAAGATTAAAAACAGGGTATATGTGTCTATACTTGTATATGCCCTTTTTTTTTTCTTTTTTTGAAGATAGGGACTTGTTAAATCGTTTTCGTAATGTCAGTGGATAGATCTGGAGATAAACTAAGTATGTATGTAATATATTTTTGTTTTCCCCAGGTGCATGAATACCTCAGAAGTAAACTTTGTTCACTGTATGAAAATGACTGTATATTTGACAAATTTGAATGTTGTTGGAATGGATCTGACAGGTAATCGATTTTAATTGAACCTCTTGTCCAAATATGAATTTTATTAGAGGAAAGAAACTTACTGTTTCATTAATTCTGGTATGGTTGCCACATTCACTAAAAGTATGGCCAGCTTTTTTTAGTTTAACATAAATTACAGGTCCTAACTTCCTTCTCCACCCCTACTCCCCCACCCCACCCCAGGGGTTCCTTGAAAGTACTTCAAAAAGTTCATGGAAAGATTCATATTATCTTTTAATTCTAATTTTCTACAAACTTTTTGAAGTACCCTTATACTGGCAGCTAAAAATTAAGCATTGTGTTTCACTAGTGTGAAAATACAGAAAAAAATTTAGATATCAAAATAATTATTTAAAGATTTTTAAATTTTTTCTTTTATGAACTCGATGAATCACATTTCTGACAAGCCAACAGTTAAAGTGGTGAAATATTAGTATGGTTGTTATCCTACTATTAAACTGTTTTTAGAAATATTTAGGCAGCAGATATTTTGTTTGGATTGTTATACACCGGTTTTTCCACATACTACATAAACACCTCATAGAAGTAGTTTGTATGTGTTATTTTAACCATCTCATTATGAGTAGTTATGCTCTTTATCATCTCCAATTTTGCCATAGTATGATTCCTTTTTACTGTGTCATCAAAATGCATGCCATTATTTCCGAAGATAGATAAGTCTATTTAAATTTCAGGTTTATTGTTGTTAATATTTATTTACCATTTGCTATGTTCCAGTAGTACAGAAAATAGTAAAAGAAGATGTAATTTTGGAATTATGTAAACTTGGATTTAGAGTAACCAGAGGCACTTTAACAGTAGTTTTATCACCGAAGCTTGAATGATTGAGGTTTTGTGGTGTTATGGGTTGTAGAGTGTAATAGTACTTCAGATGTTTATTATTTGCCTGGATTTTGAAATTATAATTATTATCTGATTTTTAACATGAGGCCCAGTGATAGGCTGGCTGTATTAAACCTGGAGTCCTGTTGGTAGGGATAAGAAGCATTGCCTTTGAGTCCACTGCTGAGTCTGTGGCATCAAGAAGAAAGAAGGAGAGGGAAGAGAAGAAAGAAATGAATGAGTCTGAGCAGGAGAAGGTATTGATCCAGTAGGCTGTGTGCACTGCTGCAGCTAGTTCTTGCTCATACAGTTGAAGCCTGTTGCTAGCAGTTTCACGTTACTTCCCATTATCAGAAGGGAGTTATTTATTTCCCTTAATATTTAAAAAAAAATGGGAATAATTTCAGACTTAGAGAAAATTTCATAGAGTAGCACAAAGAACTCTTCATTTGGTCCTTAACCAGATTCCCCCATTGCTACTTGCTGTGTCACGGTCTCCTCTGTCTTTGTCTATAGCTATAGCAGTATGAGCACACACTCACACACTTCTTTGTGCAGCATTTAGAGTAAATTCCAAACGTGATGACTGTTACCCCAAGTTCTTTAAAGACTGTTTCTTAAAAGACAGGACACTCCTTGCATAACAATGGTGCAAGCATGCAAAACAGAAATACTCGCATGGACTCTTGAGACTGCCATCTAACCCCCAGATCTCATTGAAATTTCACCAGTTACCTCAATCCTGTCCTTCATGGCAAAGAAAAAAAATCTGGCGCAGTATCCAGTCCAAGGTCATATCTGTTAAATTTGTTGTCTTATCTTGTTAGTCTCCTTTATTCTGGAACAATTCTTTATCCTTTACTTGTCCTTCATGACCTTGGCATTTTTTGAAGAAGACAGGTGTTATTTCTTAATTTGGGTGTTATCTAATGTTTCTCCTGTTTGACTCAGGTGATACATTTTTGGTAGGAATACCACAAAAACATTGGTTTAATACCTTTTAAAAGTTATGAATAGCCATAGTCTAGGTACCCTAATTCATTAAAATCTCACAAAATCAGATAATATGGGGATGCCAGTCTAAATTACATAAATCATTTTAAAAGAAATGCGGTTTTATTCAGGGATATGTACCAATTTGAGTTTGATTAAAATTGTTGTCAAGTGTCCTTTAGGGGAATTAACATTAGTAGATAAGCTATGTACATAATATTTGTAAGTATTTAGAGTGGTTTCCAAGCATGACTTTGAACAATTACCTAGTATCCTGTAATGTCATTTATAATAAAGATTCAAACCACGTAGAAAGGAGTTGGTAAGTAGTGGTAGCACCAGACTCTTTTCAATTTTATTCAGGGCTTCAGACTTGGGAAGTTTTGCTTACGAGGATGCTTAGTAGTGATGAGCAGTGATGGATGGCAAATAGAACTGAGAAGAAAGTGTCCTGGTTGACAGCTGGCCACTTAGCTCGTTGGTTAGAGCATGGTGCTGATAACACCAAGGATCTGGGGTTCCATCCCTGTACTGGCCAGCAAAAAAAAAAGTGTCTTGGGCAGGCTAAGAATTTGGCACCGCTTTGAAGTGATAACTTTTTGAAGTATTTGCTTAAAATATATACTACTTTAATATTCTCAGGAGCTGATTTATTATGAACATTTCATAAAATGTGATTATATGAACCAGATGACACCCTGGGAACAAATTAAATAGCTTATAATTTCAATCATAAAGTGAAGCATTATTTTTTTATGAATAGCTTTTTCATGGTTATTTTTGTTTGTTTGTCTTTTAAATTTAAGAAGCTTTTAGTCCCACAGATGGTTGCTACTTTAAGAAGTTGGCTGGTCTGGGTGATCGTGTAGCCTGTCTTTGCAAAAATATTCAACAAAGATAACTCAGGACTACCAAGAAGTTTTACTTGAGGACACCATTAGCTCTGGTGATAGTTTTGGTAGTCATGAAAATGAGGAATTGGTAGGAAACCAAGTTAACTACAGCCACATATCACTTCACTGTGGGAATACTTTCTGAGAAATGTGTGGGGAGGCGGATTCTTCATGCTAGTGTGAACATCGTAGCGCATACCTCCGCCAAGCTAGGTGGGGGTGTAGCCTTTATAATCTCGTGGGACCACTGTTGTGTGTGTGGTGCATGCCTGTAGGAGCGTGTTTCTGGTTTATTCAGTGACTGGGTCTCTGTCAGCAGCCCTGCTGCTTATACTCACATCTGCTTGAGGTCGCTCCTCCTTACAGGGCAGGAGGCGAGGGGCAGTCACCAGCTCAGTGCCCTGCAGACAGTCTCTCGAGCACTTGTGTGACTGAGTGTTCTCTCCACTTTTACAGTGTCGTCATGACTGGATCTTACAATAATTTCTTCAGAATGTTTGACAGGAACACTAAGCGAGATATAACCCTAGAGGCGTCGCGGGAAAACAACAAGCCTCGCACGGTTCTGAAGCCCCGCAAGGTCTGTGCAAGCGGCAAGCGGAAGAAAGACGAGATAAGTGTGGACAGCCTGGACTTCAACAAGAAAATCCTTCACACGGCCTGGCACCCCAAGGAGAACATCATCGCAGTGGCCACTACAAACAATCTGTATATATTTCAAGACAAAGTGAATTAGGGTTGGCATTCCTAGCAGAGGAGCCCACTTCCTGCTTAGTTGAGATAGTTCGGTCTAGCATTCGTACCTATAAGAGGGAGAGGCCCCTTGTGGCGCCCCTTTCCAGTGTTTGACAGTGTGCCATCCGACAACACATTTTATAGCTACATGGAGAAGGCTCTGTGGATTCGTCACTGTGGTGTTCTCCATGTCTGCTAGCCATTTAGGTGAGGGTAGGGCACTTTTAATTTAAATGACTTCTTGCACCATCTTGCCTAATGGACTAGATCGGACTGTGTCAACATTGATTTACTCCACTTTTTATGCCTTCCATTGTGATGACGTCAAACACAGTGAAAGCCTTCAGTCATGCTATGGGATTTAATTGTGTATCCTCATTACTGTATCATTTGTGGGGTACATCCCTCCCTCCTTTTTTTAAATTAAATACAGCTCATTCTTACTGTGGCTTGTAGCATTCCTCCTCTTCTGGCCTCCCGGACTCTTCCCTCCATCTCTCTCACCCTTGCCCCCTCCACCTGGTTTTGGTGGTGGTATATTGGGAAAAAAAAAAAGAACGAAAGCACACACAATGAGTCAGTTTGGGGTCAGTGATAAAGGGGATACCTGTTGCGAACAAATGTTTTAATAACAGTTGGCTGTAATCACTCCTTGCCATGTCTGGCGCTGAAAATAAGGAAAAAAAAACTACTGAATAAAAGTGACAAAGAATGGTGAATCTGGTTTTCTTTTTCTTTTTAAGCTACCTCTAAGCCAATGTTTGTTTTATGTCATACCCTTGGGCACAGTGAAATGAAATAAGTTTCCTATGTTTTATTGGTATTTTTGTTAATTATTTTTAACAAGTGTTCTTTTACATGGAGGAAAGGTATTGGTTCTGTATGAACGTTTTGATGAATATATATTGGTATGATTAAGGATTTCAAAATCTATAAATGCTAGAGGGGTTTTTACTATAGTTAGAAGGATTTTGGATACATTGTATCTATATTTAACTCATCTGTTAATCAAATTGTTGTAAATGGGAACCAAATTTATAGAATTTCCTTTTTTTAAGGACTTGTTACAGGGCTTAATTTCATTTTTGCCTTACTAAATAGTAAAAAAAAGACTTGAAAAACATTTTTAACAAGTTAAAACTGCCTTTTGGTCATTTATTCGATCATATAATATAGCAGAAAACTAACATCAAGTGATTTACGTAGATAAAATTGACACTGCGCTAAATACCGTTTTTTTTGTATTTTACAGCTGTCAGAATAGAATGAAATGTACTTTGCCATAGATATTTTCTTCTATTTTTTGTTTTCCAAAGCTGTATTAAAAACAAACTTTTAAAAGTACAGTGTTCAAGAAGTGCTTAATAGACTCCATCAGCTGCCTCAAATAAAAATTTAGTAATCTCTATATGACTACATTTTCCCTAAATGGCGATACCTTATCCAAAGATGAAGAGTACCCCTATTTTTAATAGGTAGAATGTACCTTTGTCAGTCTTGCAGAAGCTTTAATGGAGAAAAAATGGACTTTATTTTTAAAAGATGAATTGAGCAGGCGTTTATATTAGAGAGTGAGTGGAAATATATTTTGGTTGAGCAGTCATAACAACCTTGAATTTTAGGGACTCTGAGTGCTTCGTAACTGTTCACTACCTACTGTTCTTACCTTCAGTAATGAAGAATGATTAAACAATTCAACCGTAATCCCCACTACACGTATATAAAAGTTGTCTTGTAAGTTAACATTTTTAGCACACAGGAGAAATTTTATGTAATAAAATTACTGTATCTTTTGGACTTAACAAGTTTGTATTTAAACACATTATATGATTATATGTCTGGTAATTCTTAATGGCACTTTTACTAATTTATTTGGGGATTTTGGGTGCATTCACAATTTGTGTTAATTATCCTTCACACTTGACTTCAAGTGGGATAATCCCCTCTCGGGAGTATTGAACAGTGATATTCTGTTTTCTGGTTGGGCAACATTCTGGAAGATGTTTTTGGGAGGTTGTTTCCCTATGGTTTGTTGTATGTCCTCAGATCACACCACCAAACAGCTCTTGGGAATTCTTTTTTGATTCATTAGTAGCTATGATGATTCTTATCCATGACACTAAGGATTAGTTTTTTATATATTTAAGAGAAACAGTTGCTAAAATTAAAATGCCTTTATCAAGGAATGCTATTACAAACTATTGTAACATTATCCTCAAGTATTAACTTTTTAACTCCTTTGGTGTAGCAAATAATAAGCCCAGCCACTCATTTTATATGGTCATGGTTAATCTTTTTATTAATAAAATTATGCTTAGAATAAACTTAGTCTTGTGAAGTTGCTTGTATTTTCTATTCTTTTACCACTAGTAAATGTGTACATATTCTGTTCCTTCTCTGTTAACCTTCTAAAAAAGATTATGGTAGAAAAAAGAACTTTCATTCTATTAATCATCTTTGATCTTAGTGGCTGGGCAACAAGAATAGTTATAGTAATAAACTTTTATATAAAACATGTTTATGTAACAACTAACTACTGGATATTAAGCTTCTGTGAAGCCCTTAGTCTCTTGAAATAAGTAATGCACTTTTTTTCTTTCAAAATTAAGAGAATTTTTTTAAAAACCTTAAATGTGCGAGTTATTCTGATTGGAGATATTTCTAAAGCAAAAAGAAAACTAGAAATATGAAAACAGGTTCTCAGTGTGCAGCAGTATTTTATAAGAGCAATGTGTTTATTCTTAGCTTTCACATACACAACATTTTCTAAGTAGTACTGATAAAAGCATTTTTAGTGAAATTTAAACTGCTGCCACCTTAGGGAATATTGCTTCAGCATCATTTCTCCACCACACATAAATTATGTGCACTTTTGGAAGAACTAAGTCAAGGCCCCCGTCCCCCAAAGAAGAAAAGATAGGTATATGATACGTAATCAGGAATTGAGTCAGTTTTCTTTCGTATTTTGATAGCAACGCTATTTTAGGCATCTTGTCTGTCTGTCCAGATGGTAGTTTAAGCTGTGTGTGTATTTTACCACAGTGCAAAAGGATTTCTTAAACACCACTCTTCTGTTCCCCTAATAGCCTTAGACACTGACCCTGCTTGATTTTGTAATTATGCATATGAAGTGAGATTACAACTTAGTTTTTAGTATTAATCAAATGCTGAGTGATTCTACAGCCTTGGGGTTTTCTCAAATGATTAGAGATACTTTCGTAATTGAGTTTTGTTTAACATTTTATTGCATAGTGGTATTAGGTTGTGTAATGACTGCCTCCGTAAGAATTAAGAAACACCCACCTTACAGGTTTAAAGTATATAACGTAGGAAAAGTCCCTCCCTAGCACAGTGCCTATCAAACAAGGCACTACAAAGCCTAGTTCCCCACAAAAGGAGGAACTTGGCAAAAATAGATAATTAAACTGGGCTAAGGGATAAAACCAGTATCTATCTTAGTGTTCTTCTCTTTGCTCCTTAGTAATGTCAGTGGCAACAAGTTATTTGAGGACTTTCCCAGTAGGGGGCAGTGGTTAAGTCTTAAACAGCAATTACGAGGTATTTTTGAGAATGTATACACAGGGGAGTTCTGTTTCTGTACTGGAAGTTCCATTATTAAAAACCAAGTCAGGGACCAAATGGAAAGTCCAAGGTGTGGGCATATGACCAAATAAAACTACTGTTCAACACGATCCTGGAGTAAGTGAGGACCCAGTAATGGAGGTAGAGCCCAAATGCCACCGGTGATGTCTGTCATGGTCATACTTTATTGGGGAAGCAGCAAGAAGTAAAATTGGAAGACGGTTCTCAGCTGCCCTTTGCAAAGTCATTATATTTGCCACGTTAGCTTTCTCCCTCCTTTACAAGGAGACTAGTAGTTTCATGTTGTGCATTTTTGCTGATTTAACTCTGGAATGTCTAAATTCCTTTAAAAAAAAAAATGTGGGGCCGAGCCCGTGGCGCACTCGGGAGGGTGCGGCGCTGGGAGCGCAGCGGTGCTCCCGCCGTGGGTTCGGATCCTATATAGGGATGGCCTCTGCGCTCACTGGCTGAGCGCGGTGAGGCCGGTCTCAAAAACGACAAAAAAAAAAAAAAAAATGTGTGTTCTGAGTTCTTTGCGAAGTAAAAAAGTAGAATACTCCACCAGTAACAACATGCAGAGAAAACTCCCATTCACATTTTTACATACAGTTGCCCCTTGAACACAGGCAGATTTTTTTCAACATAACTGCAGTACTGTAAATGTACTTTCTCTTTTTTCTGATTTTCTTAACATTTTATTGTCTAGCTTATTTTATTGTAAAAATGCAGTATATAACATATACAAAATATGTGTTCATCAACTTATTGTTATCAGTAAGGCTCCAGTCAACATCAACAGTAAACTGTTAGTAGTTAAATGACAGGGGAGTCAAAAGTTGCATGGAATCATTTATACAGGTAAAAGTTCTATTTCTCCACTTAACATATCTTGAGCAGTTTCCTATATCAAATATTCTCTGTCAGCAATATTTTCATGCCTACATAGCCTCACACTTATGCATGTTGCATTATTTTTTAGCTAGTCCCTGTTGTGAAGACCGATTTTTGTTCACTTTTGCTAGTAGGAATATTAGCATAAACATACCAATCTTGGTGTGTAAAATTAGTAGGATACATTTTTATAGATATAATTGGTGTATTGAAGAATATGGATATATTTAAGATTTGGTATATATTGTCAAATTTCCCTCCTAAATTCCAAAAAAGTTCCATCATATGTATATGGGATAACCTATATTTTCACACCCTAACAACAAAAAACCCATGTTTTATCTTTCTCAATTTGAAAAAGTCAAAAGTGGTAACCCATTTTGCATTTCCATATTTCTAGCATGATGTTAATTTATATAATCTGGATACAAGACTTTTTATCAGATATATGCTTTATAAACATTTTCTCCCAACCCTCTTTTCTGTCACTCTTAACAATTTCTTTTGAAGTTCTTAATTCTCATAAAGTCCACTTTATCAACTTTTTTCTTTTATGGATTATGCTTTATGTGACATATCTAAGAAACCTTTGCCTAATTCAAGATCATAAAGATTTTTTGTTTTTTTAGAAGTTTAGTAGTTTTTAGTTTTTACATTTAGGTCTATGACCCATTTGAGTTTTTATATATGGCACATATATAAAAGTTATATGTACAGCATGTAGATCAAAGTTTTTCTTTGCCCTTTTGTCAAAAATCAGTTGACCATATAAGTATGACTTTCTGAATTATTCCATTAATGTATATGTCTGTGCTTTCACCAATACTGCATTGTCTTGATTACTGTTCCTTAAGTCTTCAAATCAGGTAATGTGAATAATCCAATTTTGTTCTTTTTTAAAATTGTTTTGCTGATTTAGTTCCTTTGTCTTGACATACACATTTTAGGAGCAGCTTGTTGACTTCAGAAAACAACAAACAGAAGGCACCTGCTTAGATTTTGATGATAATTTCACTGAATCTGTAGACCAGTTCAAGGAGAATGGACATTTTGATATCTGTCCTTCAGTCCACAAATACAGCATATTGCTCCATTCGTGCAGGTCATTGATCTCTGTTATCATTGTTTTTAGTTTTTAGCATACAGATCTTGCACATACATTGCTAGTACTTCATGGAAGTTTTGTGTGTGCTCTTGTAAATAGTACTTTTGAAATTTCTGTATTGAAATACAATCGGTTTTTGTATATATATCCTGACACCATTCACTTATGTAGATTTTTTTAAACTTTTCTACGTAGACAGTCATGTCTGCAGATTATAATAAATGTTTTATTTCTCTTTTTTTTGCCAATCTTCCTTTCCAATGCCTTTTATGTCTTTTCTTGTCCTGCTGCACTGGATAGACCCTCCAGTGCCTTGTCACCAATATTAGGGGCAAACATTCAGTCTTTTCCATTGATATGTTAGTTCTAGGGTTTTTGTAGATGTCTTTCTAAGCTGAGGAAGTCCTTTTTTATTCCTAGTATTCTGAGACTTCTTAATCATGAATGGATGCTGGGTTTTGTGAGATGTTTGTCCTTCATCTATTGGAATGATTGTGTAATTTTCTTTATAATGTTGATATGGTGCATTACATTGATTTTCTTTCTTTTTTTTTTTTTTTTGTCTTTTTGTCTTTTTTCGTGACCGGCAACGGATCGCAACCCTCAGTGTTGCGCCCGTACCGGACCGGGACCGGCAACGGAATCACAACCCTCGGTGTTGCTCCCGCACCTCGCTCAGCCAGTGAGCGGCCGGTCTGTATGTGGGATCCGAACCCTCGGTGGGAGCGCCGCCACGCTTCCCAAGCGGTGCACTGTAGCAGTGCGCCACCGGGCCGGCCCTACATTGATTTTCAAATGTTGAACCAGCTTTGCCTTCCTGGAACATTGCTGGATTCTTCTGCTAGTATTTTGTTGAGTATTTTCACACCAGTGTTCATGAGGATTTTGATCTGTAGTTTCCTTATCTTTTAATGTCATTATCTAGTTAGTGTAACGCCGATCTCACAAAACAAATTTCCTTTCTCTTATATTATTGAAGAATGTGGGTGAATTTCTTCCTTAAATGTTTGGTAGAATTCGCTAGTGACAAAATAGTAAATAACTATTCTGTCAAGGGTCACATAGCTATGAGTCACTCTGCAAGGAGTACTGTAATATCTGTGCCTTTTGGGAATTGCAATGTATTACTGCCTTATTGCCCAGCAGAGTTAGCAGAATGAAGCACTCTAATTTGAGCTTGCAAGATAACATTTTGCTTTCTTACAGTATCTTTGAAAATGTTAATTTATTACTCAAATCTAGACAAATCTGAACTCTTGTTGTCTAACAGTTTACTTAGTGAGTAATGCCTAAAAAGATTCATTGATCAGGTAATTTTGTTATCTTAAATAGCAATGAACAAGATAGGATGTGCTGTATGCCACACTGGGAACCCTGGGAGTCTAAGAAAATAGAATTACAAAGTTCTCACTCTCTCCATGCTTGCTCTCCTCCCCGCCCCCTTCTTTCCTGTCTTATCCTCTTGTCTCCACTGGCTGTGAAGTGCTGACTTATCTTGCAGACAAGCTTATTTGATCCTTGGATGAGAATGCCTCTCAGCAGTCACTCTTCAACTAAATCCACGACATGCACTTACTTCCCTTCTCTCTAACAATCTGAGTTTGCACCTGCTTTCCTGCTTTAGAATTACGGACAGAACCAAGCACAATTACTTGCAACTGGGCATGGTATTGTAGAATCAATGCTCAGTACAGTTCATTAATAGTAAAATATTTTGCTGAGCACATCATGGTTTATGTAGCTCTCAAAAACATCTCATC